GTTGAACTTGCCTTGGTTGAACTTGAAAAGTCTAATTTTAGCAACATAAAAAGCCTCTCTTATACTTCACATGAACCTTAAAGGTGGTACAGTTTTTGTTATACATAGTGCATATTCACAGAGACCAGGAGATAACAGTTTTCTTTGTTTTCAGGACAGAATAAGAATGATAGCTTTATACTTCATTTGTGTATAAAAGAAAATGCAAAAGGTTTAGATGGAAAACTTAGTATTTAACTCTTAGACTCAATTAAGGATCTTGGGCAGATCCTTAATTTTTTGAACCTTAGTTTTCTTATTTGTCAAATAGAGATAATATATATGCAAAATACTTCTTAGAGCTGTTGTAATCCATCCATATACACAAACACACATATGGTTTGTAAATTCTAAAATGGAAACTGCAGCATAGTAGCATATACCTGAGAAGGTATGTCTAGCAGACATTCAGTTGAGGTCTATTGACTATATAGCCTGGTTATGTTTTTGAGTCCTTGTTACTGGAAGGACAGTTTGAATCCATAGGAGGCCTTTTCTAAGAATTCAGACTGTGATGTTTTCATCTTCATTGCATTAATTCTTTTGGAAGAACAACACATGTTTGGATCTCCTTTGGTCCCAGCTGTATTATCTCCCCAGCACCATGGGGAGCTGGAGGCACAGTGAAGAATTGATAGTCCTAAAATTAAAACTAGAATCCAGATCTTTGGTAATTTCCAAATCACAGGTACTTTGTATTTCACTTCTTACACTTAATGAGATTTTATTGCCAACCTGCTCAAGGATTGCACATTACTTTTAATATTCAATTTTAAAGCATTTGAATACTAATTTAAAAGATCTATTGCTGGAGTCCATGGGTGCATGTACCTAAGTGCCCAGGCTCTGGCTATAGTAAAATCCCAGTACAACTGTTTGCACTTCTGTGAGAGAAACCGAACTAAATCAGTGTCTAGACTGACCATGGTTTTCCTGAGAATGGCTTTAAAAGAAAAATACATCATAAACTTAGATATTTCCAGAAATGATCATGAAGGTTCCCCAATTCAAAAACTTTAGTGAACTTTGATATTATTCCTAATTAAAGTACATCTTATTTGCATCTGGACTTCAATAGATGGGGAATAAGCATTATACTTCATTTATACTTTATTAAAAGTAGGTTACATTCAGCTGGTGGTTCTGACTTAGAGGTATACCTTAGAGCATTTTCTAGAATTCACAACCCTGTACTCACTTGTTGACTCAGGCGCCTAGATGATTTCAGGTGTACCCCTCCTTAGCCATCTGCTACAGCTGAAGAAGGAGTAGGGGATTTGCTAAGTATAAAACATTGATGATTTAATAGTAGCAAAGGTAGAGCCTAGAAAAACTACAGAGAAAAAAAATAGATACCATGGTAATGATTCTAGACATTTTTTTTTTCTGTTCTATGACTTTTTCTTACTGAAAGAGAAAGCAGATGAATCTGGCACCTTATTAGAAATGTCAGGAAGTAAGTGGCTAGTATCTGTCTACTTTTAAGAGTCAAAAGAAACCTGGAAAGTCCAGTTTGGAGGCTAAAATCAAAGTAGTAGTGATACTCAGTTTAACTGAATTTAATCGTTGGCTGTTTAAAACAAGCCTCTTTATTTGCCTCTTAGTGCAGTAGGCAATACATCAGCCTCATAAACTGAACCTTTCTTATACATAGATATACAGTAGTTACTTGATGATATATGAAAATATCCCAAGATAATCCATAAAGGGGTCATTTCTAACATTCAAACATCTTTTTTAAAATATGTATTTGTTACATTTTTTTTAAAGCACCTATTTGTTAAGACCCTATAAAATGCCAAAATGAGAAAGCCAGTCCAGCTTGCCAAGACTGTCTACCCAGAGATAAAACCCAGAGGTTTATCACCTCTTTCACAAATAGCCCTTCTAATATGTAGCCAGTATCGAAGGAAGGATGTTCCAGGCGGTTGTTGCTAAGATGGTAAATGGCTTCCTTTCTGGTTACCTTCCCCTCCCAGACTTTTGCTTAAGTATATTATTCTTCCTCTGAAGTTTTTAGAAGAGAGTTTAGATGTTTGTGCCTTGGTGAGGCTAGTTTCCTATCTAAACCAAATGAAGGGAACAGCTAAATTTAGGAAGTACTTTCATTAGGCTAGCCTGAT